AAACAAACGCATTAGGATCACATTCTCTCTCTCTCTCTCTCTCTCTCTCTCTCTCTCTCTCTCTCTCTCTCTCTCTCTCTCTCTCAAGGCCTGCTCTTGTAGTACCGTCTTTTAACTCAAAAAAATCGGAATCATCCGCTCCATCCCTCGAGGATTCTTCCGTCCCACAACTCCTTGAGGCCATAGTATAACGGTGTGGGACAGAATGGTTCCCCCCAGCACACACACTGCAGTCCCCCAGTGCTCCCGGTTGTGTCTCATTAGCAATTGTCTCTATGCACTGTGAGCCTGCTGCCATGGTGGCACACGATAACCGCCTGCAATGAGCAGCAGACCGCAACATTAGTCACGCATCCCAGATACACACACACACCTCTGCCAAAATAATACCCACCACCACAATAATGATCGGGACGATAACAGATTAAAAAGCGCTGATCGCGATGTGGGGATAGCCCTGATATCTTCCCCAGCCAGGGGTACCGAGGGGCCGTGAGGGCAGGTGTTTCAAGGAAGGGGTTGTTAGCGAGGGTTGGAGGCCTTGGGTCCTCCGGGAAACGAGGATTCTAGCGGGGCTTTGGGTTTGAATCCTGTTTGTTTTCTTTGGACTTTAACATGAGAGGAATCAGACAGGGTTAAAGGGCTTTGTTGAGCTGTCTCTAGAGATCCAGGCTGTTGAATGTGTCGTTTTAACACGTAACACGCTCACGCCTTTGGTTTTGTGTGATGACTGCGGTACTCATTCCACTTATAGTTTTTTCACCATCAGATTGCCATTGTATGATGTTTTATGAATGAGTATATTTTGCTTTATTTATTAAAAAATGTACACATATAATGACTCTATTTTACCTATTCTATGATGAGCATGTTTTTCATTTCTGAATTCAAATTGTTTTTCTGGAGAAAAATCAAGGTTGTAAAATGTCATGTGATGTGACTCTTATGATGATATTTATGATGATTTTTTTTTTATAAAATAATTTATCTTAAATTCCGTCACACTTTATAATAAGGTCACATTTGTTAAGATTAGTTAATGGATTAACTAACAATCTAACAATGATCAATATATTTCTACAGAATTTATTTAACTTAATAAAAATGTTCATGTTAGTTCACAGTGCATTACTTATATTAACAGATACAACTTTTGATCTTAAAAATGTATTAGTAAATGTTGAGATTAATAAATTCTGTAGAATTGGTAAAGAATGGTTAAGATGTGAACATGCACATGTATTCGTTTTCTATTTGATATATATATACCCAAGTGTTTTCTCATCCAGCCTATAGGAATTTCTGAAAGTTAAGTTACAATTTGTCATGATGGCTGAAGAGAAGCTGCAGATTAGGGCTTTGACAGCTGATATCGTCCCTTTAAACACGTGGGATTAGTTGAATAAACAGCTATAACTGTTAATATTCACACAGGCTAAATTTGTTGTTCTCTAGGGAGATGCTAATTGTAGCTTTGTTTTCAGAAGTTATAATTTAAGTATAAACAGGCCAGAGGTGGTATGTGTGTCTGTTTGTGCACACTTGTCTTTATTAGCTGTGCGGTTTCCGTACACACACCAGTGAGCTAGCGTCTGCACTAACAATGTTTCTCCCTCCTATTCTCAAGCAGTGGAACGTGTTAGCTAATTGCGAACTTTATTAGACGTTTCCTATTATTATTGACGTTGCAAATGTTATTCTGAACGCCGTCGTTTCGCTTTCCAGTCTGCTTGGCTTATTGGGCCTGGCACATAATAACACATTTTAATATTGAGTTGATTGGAAGCTGCAGTGAGAAGCTGCTAACACATGTTCGCTTCCAAGACAATAGTGCTTTTAATTTGCATAATCTGAATACATTTTCTGGCTCAGGTTTTGTTGAAAGTAGACTTAATTGCCTTATTTCTTTTGTGCTTGTGAGTTAATGTGGGACTCTGAGATGTACCAAGTGCTGCAGAACCTTTTCTAGACCGTTCTTCAGGCACGACGCTCCATCGTTAAACATTTCTTGGCCATGTGTGTCTAATTTGTTCTTTTCTTTAATGTCGACCAGCATCAGAAGCAACTTTTATTCAAATGACTCCGCTCTACTTTTAAGTTAACTGCTCTTTTACTCTTTTTTTTTATTTTTTATTTTTTATCCCTCCCTCTCTTTTTTCAATGTGTTTATAGAATAATGTGGACGAATTGCATGCAGAGCGTCTCCGCAGGGCTACGGAACGTCTGCGCAGTCCCGTTGTCTTCCACAAGGAGTCTGCTGTCAGGAAAACACAGCTCAAATCATTCAGCCAATACGTAGAGACCAGGCCAGGTGAGGTCTTTTACTTTCACTGATGTCACTTCCTCCAGTTTGACTGCATAAACAAAGATTATGGAGGATTTTGCATTGTGGAACACTTAAGTAATTAATAAATTAATGTATTTAATGCGTAAAGATGAGCATGTCTGTTACATTCAGGTTTGTGGTTCAGTTCTGCCAATTAGGCTTAATGTAAAATGAGTATTGAAGTGTCTCTTAAAGGTCTTCAAGAATACTGATAGTTTAACAGCTTTATAGGGTGTTTATATATGCCTAGTGATTGTTTTAATGGAGATGTCAGATCTGTCTGATTGGGTTAGGTTCATCTGATAAAAAAATTGTCTTCATATTAATTTATAGTCAGGTGAGAATCAACCAACTTTTAATATCTCTCTCTCTCTTGTTTTAGAGGTTAAAAGGCAGAGATCCGTGCCTGAAGATCTGAAGAGGATTGGTGAGGAGAGAGGAGCTCTGACAGAGATGGAAGGACGAAAGCCAACTGAAGATGAAGTACTTAATGCATATTTAAATTTTGTGTCAGCGCTGCTCGTTCTGATGTTGTCTGTGACACCAGGTCATAGTTGGACGTCACAGTCGCACACAGTCACTCACATCTGTCTGAGGGGCAGAGAGGTTTTTGAACGCTGATGCCAATCTGTTCTTCCCTAAAGCCAAAGAGACCAGCCAAATTAGACTGCTATTCCCTGATAATTATAAGATTAGGAAAAAAGGAAATGGACAGAGTAGTGGATATACCTTTTTCACTCCACCTTTCTTTCTTTTTCTCAGAACACTTTCAATTTGTCCTGAATTTCCCCTCTGTTTTTGTCTCCATTCCTGGTTCCAATGTCCATCAAAAAAATGTATTGATTTATTTTTAATGGAATAAACACATAGTGTGAATATATATAGAATTATAGAACTATGCAATTATCATTTCTTTCTTTCTCTCTATGCAGGCTGATCTAAAGAAACTACAGTATTTTAATTATTGCAGCACCAAATATAGGGACAGAGCATAGAGAAACATATCCTGGGAAGAGTGAGATAGAGACACAGAAAGAGAGAGAGGGAAGGTCAGTAGAGACCAGCTTTGCCCCTCTCTGTGTAGGGGTTAATGGGTGTTGAACTTGCCCATTACCCAGCTCAAGCTGAATTACCCAGCGAATGATGTTTGCATTAATATAATATATATGGAAATTTCAACACTTAATTATGGCAGAGAGGCGAGAACAGGGGGAGGGGGCTGATCATGTGTAAAATTGATTTGTGGAAGAAGTATTTGATAGAGCAGCGAGGAAGAGGAAGGTAGTTTGATGGACAGCAGGAGGACTCAGGCAGAAAAAGTGCTGTCTTGGATGAAAAAAAAAACTTCCCCATTTCCCTCTTTCCTATTATGAAATAAGGTGCATCAGCACTAAAATATATATATATTTTTGCAGCAATCTTTAGGATGTGAATTTAAATTAGCACTCTTTTCCCCCTCCCCCACTTTTCTTAGAATATTAGGAAGGTTGGAAGGAGGAGAGGACAGAGGTGGGTGATAAACGAGTGGAAGAAAGGGGAAGGGGGGGGGGGGGTGCTTGTCACTATCACACACTTGGAAATAAGCGTGCAGTTTAATTACTGTATTTGTCCCTAATCACTGTCTCATCCCTCACTTCAGTGTTTCTCATGAGCCAGAGGGTGCTGGCACCAGGGCCACATGCGTAAAAGAATAGAAGCATGTTTCCAAACGCGTACATGTGTGAATCTGAGCACACACGTGTGCTGTGTAGATCTCTTAGATCCCTGCTGATAGGCCCTTAGGCACTGACCCACCTCTCCCACATATTTCAATTTTGCCTCTCTGCGTGTCAGTCTCCAGACTGCTGTAAAACTGGATTCTCTCTGCGGTCATTTAGCGTGTGTTTATATTGGTGTGTAAGCGCACCCTCCTGCCTCCGGGCTTTACACATGAAGTCAAACCTCAGCATTTAAAGCTACAGTCTTTATAGTATGGGTATATGGGTCTAAATCTTCAAACATAGTCAGAATTTTTTTTTTTATTTATTAAATCTAATTTTTTTTATATACATGCTTAGCATTTAAAGCTAAAGTCTGTAACTGTGCAAATCAACATTATTAAGCCATGAATAAATAAAAATAAATATATAAATCTTTAAACCTATTCAGAATTTCATTTTATTTTATAATCATGTATAAAATTTTTTTACATATATTTTAAATGGTTCATATGATTTAAAAAATATAATTTATTATTACTTAAATTTTTTTTTTTTTTTTATATATATATAATAAATCTTTTTAAATGTGTGTATTATTGTTATTTAATACCTCATCTTTGTAATTAACCTAATTTGGGAAAGGTTTTAAATAATTTTTATCACATCGTAATTTTTAAAGAAAGCTGTAATTTTTAATTTGCTTAATTAATTAAAGCAATATTCACCAGTAATTATTCTGACCACTGTTCCCCTGGTATTAAAAAGCTGTATAAACCTAGGATGTGATGCTTCATTTCTTACCTCTCATCACTCCCCCTTCCTCTCGTTTGTTCTTGCCCAGCAGAAAGCGTTCAAAGACACCAGTCAGTACGTGGTGGGAGAACTGGCGGCGCTGGAGAGCGAGCAGAGGCAGATCGACACGCGGGCCTCGCGTGTGGAGAAGCGTCTGCGCTATCTCATGGACACAGGTACGCCGCCCAATTACACTGTAAACAGTTTTGGCAAATTGAGCGTTCACAAACTCTTATGGAGTTTGGGAAGTGTGAATCTTTGAAGCCGGGATGTTGGGGCGGCAGCGGGGATATGAAAAGGGGCGGTGAGGATGCAGGGAGGCTCTCTGGGCCGCCGTGATAAGAGAGCCTTCATGGGAGCTGATAACTAGTGCTGATAGCGTCCGCCAGCCAGCCACTATTGAACAGTACCGTGCAGCCATGCGCAACAGAACCCCATATCTGGCCTTCAATGATATGCTGTAGAAGAGAGAGAGAGAGAGAGAGAAGGAGGGAGAGAGGGGGATACGGCAGAGGGGTAAAGGGTGAAGAGGGGAGGAAGAGAAACGGGGAGGGTTGCTATTTGGGGGCTGGACAGAAAAGGAAATGTTGAAATAATGAAAGAAACACATTAATAGATACATGCTCTTGCTCTCCTCCTCTCTCTCTCTCTCTCCCTCTCTCTTCTCCTCACATATACACATATGAAAGAATGTGGGGTGATCTTTCAGGTGTGTATAGCAGGGAAAAAGGGCTGCTGAGCCTTTGTTAAAACAGAGCTTCGTTCTGAGCAAGAACGGCAATGGCTCCAGCACCTCAATAACCAAAATTTAAGAACAGCATCCTGCCATCCAGATACTGATACGAAACAATAATTTCTCACAAGGGTGCCGTCTTGAAAAAAGGAGGGTAAAGTAGACGATTGAATTTTTATGCTTCTCCATCACATTGAGGATGATATCATGACTATCACAGTTTTGTGTTTGCCCAACCTTCCATCCATCCCTCTCTCTCTCTCTCTCTCTCTCTCTCTCTCTCTCTCTCTCTCTCTCTTCCCACTCACCTGGACCCTGTTGAAGTCAAAGCCGCTGTGTCCGTTTGAAGGGTTTTTTCTCGCTCTGAATGATAAATGGCTTGAATGCCCTAGCAGGTGGAGAACCAAACCAGACATTTCAGCAATATTTACACTCACACAGAAATAAGAGGCTCTGTTACACACCAGACCTTGTGTACGATTCTCACCTTAATGTGCTTACCTGTCTGAGCTAGTGCACGCATTTCAGCACTGCAAACGGGTGAATTCACGCCTCAGTCAGGTTCACAGACAACATGATCTTCAGTAACCGCTTCTATAGCCAATAATACACAAAACAAACAAAGTCATTATGTTATGCACAACATACACATAATGAATTTAACATACTGCCAAGCTGTGTTGCATTTAATTCTTTTAAGTATTATATAATTGTAATTTCATGGGGATTTAGTTAAAGTTTTCCTCAATTGTTTTTTTTCTGAATATAATTCTGCATACGCATGTTTATTTAACTTTTGAATTATTTATTTGCTTCCTCCACCCATACTATAGGGTGGTCACTGGATACATATAAATAAATACATACATACACATAAATTAGGCAAATAATTAAATTCATGATATATATAGACATATATAAAATAAACATCTGTATGCATTTACATATGTATACAGATGTATATTTATATATATATATATGCGTGTACATATATGTACACATACAAAGTTATATTTATATACATATAAAAACTGTACTAAGAACTACTCGTGATCCCTGATACCCCCCTCCCCACCTCATTATACGCTCTGCCTTAGTCTGCTGGTTTTTTGCGTTTGTTTCCCAGATGAATTCACAGTAATTGGGCTGGTTAATTTATTTACTGTGTGCAGTTCACAGCACATTAAAGAATGGAGATAATTGAACACGAATTGTCAAGTGTCTTCTGATATCAGGCGTATTACAGAAGGGAATGCGTATAAAACTCTATTTCCATGCAACCATTGTTTATGGTAATTAAGTACACAGATGTATTCCTTGGTTGCCTTCCAAGCTTATGGCGACTGCCATTGTTGTCTTCTATTAATATGTAATCAGTAAATAGTTTAATTTTCTAATCTGCAGTTGGAGAATTCACTTTCTAACAGCTCTTAATTATGGCAGAGCCCTAATGATGCAGCCGCTGATGGGCTAGGAGGCCGTCAACGGAACGCAGAGCGCTCGGGGGAAGGCAGAGGCCTGCGGTGGCTCTTGCCTAATGAACTTGTTATTCCCACACCAGAGGGAGCAGTGTCCTTCACACACACACACAGGCTTCTATGCCCATCTCACCAGCAGCTCAACCATTACCTCAGTTAGCCACATCCCCAGAATTACGTCTAAATATGTTAGACGAAAACATATCAATTTTGAACATTTCGCAAAATCAAAAGTGAGAGAGGAGAGCTATTCACGCACTCGCCATTCTGTCCGAGCACAATACCGTCCCGAATCACATTGAAATTTTTCAGCTCGCAGCATTGAAATGTGTGTAAATGTTATCTGCGGGGCTTTTGATATTCAGCAACCCTCTGAATGCATCTCCCTGACATCTGCTCAGCATGCATTTATGCACACATATGATTTTCAAATTGCTTTATAACCTGCAACAATGAACGCAATTATGAAAATAATGGCATTTAAAGGCGCTCTAAAACCCTCACACCTACAGAGTCCTCGATAAGAGATTTTTTAAAAAGCAGAGGGAAAGAATGAGTTTTAGATGAGATTAACATATGTTTAAAAATTGCACTTGAGTCTGATAAGATTGACACAGGTTTTATTGCATGCTAATCCTTTCTCCTTTTCTTTGACGCGGTCACAGAAATTCATACAAGACGGATATCATCAGCTTAATGCAGTTTACAGACAAGCCATCACAGTCTGTGCCAGGAAAAACAAACGTGTCAGAAGAGGCCCGTTATGTTTGTTTTATTCTCGGGGACGTGGCCGTCCTCTTCCAGGCTTCTTCACGGATGTGCACCTTTTTATATTTTAGTTTCAAAACGTCAGTCCCTCCCCCCCCCCAGCTTTCCCACATTAATTCTCCCTGCCCACATTCCAAGACAGTGTTGGCCATGCAGAAATAATTGCTTGAGTGTCTGCGTTTATAGATCTCAGCTCCACCAAGACTGAAATGGAATTGCTTGTGTGGCTAAGGCAACATGCTTGTAACCAGCCCCTTAGTTTGACTAAAGATTTAAGCTTGGCTACGTGAGTCGCATGGGGAAATGGTCTCCGAGCTCAGACAACAGCTAACAGCTAACACAGCTTTAAGTATATTATCAGGCAAGTTCTTTCAGAAACGTATTGCTAAAGAAGCTTAACATTAATTATTGTAACTTTGGGAAGATTACATCCACAGCATGCTTGTAAGCGGTGGACTAGTCCTCTTGACCTCCTATGCAAGAGCTTAAAGACACTAGAATGGCATTTCAGCTGCATTAATAGGATAACCAGTATAATCTTTCCGCAGTAAGAGAAGGAAAAGTGTTTAGAGCATAATACTCGCCCCGGTTCTGGGGACGAGACGGGTTTTGTGATGGCTCACGCAATCGGCACGCACCGGGTTCTATCGGTGTAATCGCAATTTTTTTTTTTCCTCCCTCTCTGCTGTTCTCTTTCTTCTGTTGTCTCTCTTTCAATTCTCTTTTTTCCCTTTTCTCTCCCTCGGTCCTATTCTTTCTCCTCCATGGGATTTGCATGCTAGTTCGGTAGCTTGTCCACTCTAATTTTAAAGACCAAAGACCTCGTTTAGCCTTCCTGCTAAGCGTGCGCCGTGAGTAGCGGAAAAGTAAGCCTGGAGACAAACGCAGGAATTCGGCTCATAAGGATGGCTTTTATCGGCACGACCAAAGGCCAGCGCTGGATCAGGAGGTGACTGCCTATTCAGGTTTAGTGCTGGACTATGTGCTCGACTTCAAGAGCTGGTTAACATCAGAATGGTCCATTTTCGGCTACTGGCTTTTGCGGCCTTTGTTCTTCCCACTAGTTTTAATTCTTACCGGACCGCTACGTGCGCAGCGTAAATCTCTTTTGTGAAGTCATGTATTCTCGCTACCTAATATCAACAGGTTAGACCTTTAGCCTCAATTAATGCATGATGTAAGACATTAGCGCTACTCTTGTATTAAACAAAATGAGTGTAATTTCTCCTTGCATTTGTCCAGTCTATTGTGATGATCTCTGTAAGCGAGAAAGAAAAACGCCTCACATCACCCATTTTTAATCTCTGATGCCGTTTGAATGTTCGAGAGGCAAAAACAATTTAATTAGTTAAGTTGCATTGACTTTACATTCAAACCCCCAACCAGCAACCCCTCCCTCCAAAAGCTTTTCCCAGATGTGAAGAGGGTTTTTTTTGGTCTGGTGTCAGGCTTTCAAACATTCTTTAACAGTTGGATGAAAGAGGATTTTAAGGAAGATTAGAGAAGGGGATCCTCCAGGCATTGTCTGAGAATCTTAAGATAAAACACACGGGGTGGATAGTGTCTGCGGGGGCTGGGGGGGGTGTCGGGGGGAAGGGTTTGTTGGTTGCAGGAGATACGGCCTGCATTGTGAGACATGTAATTTAGATTTTTATAGCGGCACGGAAATTACGATGAGTCGCCATCATAGCGCTCCCTCTCATCTCCGTTTGTTTTCATTTTCCCTCTATCCCTCTCTTTCATCCCCCCCCCCCCCATGTGTTTTGCAGTGGCCTCGCTGTCCTCTAAATTGTTGGTGTGAAGTTAAGTTAAACGCTGCTACATGTGGCATTGCAGGCAGGCAGTGATATGCCTGATTAACATTTTCAAAAAGGGCCACAATGATGGCGCTTATTATAATCTCCCCTTTATTGAAGCATCTTGAGGCCTTTTCATCCCCCCCCCACCCCCTTGACTGCCATTCCAGTAAGACCCAGCCAAACGCAGCTAGTGCCGTGCCACTGCGGCTCCATACGCGTGGAAAAACAGAGAGCCACTCTCTGCAACGCCAGCCAAGACCTCAATGATCTGCTGTTTTTTTGTTGTGTTTTTGTGGCACTGGTGTGTGTGTTTGTCTTTTTCATTTCTATTGGATTTTTGTCTGTAATGTAGAGGGCGGTCGAGAGGAGACGGGAATGGGTTTGTGTGATGCTGGCGAGATTTGAACTTGCATATCATGTGCGCAACACCCCACTTTTTGTCGCAAACACATAAGCTGTTGTTCAATGAAAATTTCTTTGACACATATTTAGGAAAAGAAAGCTAACAGACAGTGACAAGTCTGACATTTAAAGTATTTCTTTAAGTTGGGCTTTTGAATGTCATTCAATAATTGTGTTGTTGTTAAATTTGTTTTTAATTTTATTACATTCGATTTTTTCTGAGAAGTTCTCATTGTGAAAAAGGCTTAGCAAAACAGTTTGGGTGCGTGGGACTCGGTTTGCATAATTGATCATTATTTGGTTTACAAATTGTCTCCTGACAACATAATTGAATTTCAGTCATGCACTTAATTAATAGACCTTTTCATATGGAAACTGATTAAGACACACTTTACAATTAAGTGTAATGACGCGGGGTTGGCCTGTAATTAGGGGCATTCACGTGCTAACAGCCCTGCTATGCTAGCTCAGTTGTTGTTCATTTCCCTTTGTATGGGCCTCTTTAGGCTACACATTCCTCTAGCGTACTACCTGAACCTTATCAGCACACAGCGTCTCTCCCCAGCCCACCTTTAGCATGCTAAAACACGCTAACGACACCCAAAACAGCTCATTTGAGCTAATGGAAATGACCATTTAAATGCTATTGTTCTGCTGTTAGCCGCTTAGTAGAGATGGAGAGATAAGCAAGGGAAGCTACTTTTATAGTTACTGTAGGGAGGAGACTCATTATCAATTTGTCCTTAAGCAAACCTGAGGAAAGAAAAAGAGAGAAAAAAATGGAGGGGGGGGGGGGGTTGGGTAGAATCGACAATGCAGATGTGTGGAGGACGGCTAATAGTGTTAGCACATCCATTACTCTCCTCAGCTTAATTCATTAAGCAAATTGGGCGGGAACCATATTGGCCTTGTTGAAATACGTGCAATATGACACTGCTCAAATTTGTTCTAACACATGGCCCGGGGAGACGAGCCGACCGCTCTAATGGGGGAGGAGGAGCAAATTATGCAAAGACACACTGCAGGAGGGAAATGACTACAACGCAGAGGGAGTTGCACCTCTGCACTCAACTAACCCATTTTCCTTCACTCTAAGCCATGTCACATTCATTATCCTATCTTGTTGTACCTTTTGACCTTAAAGGGATAGTTCACCCAAAAAATGTAAACTCATTTATTCATCATGACATCATGTCATTCCAAACCTGTATGACTTTTGTTCTTCTGTGGAGCACAAAAAAAAGATTTTTTGAAAAGGACTAGAATGTTGTTTTGGACCACATTGACATTTTTATAATTAGTTGAGACGTTCTTCAATATATCTTCTTTTATACAATGCACATTATATTTATTGGTGCAAGCTGGAACGTCTGTTAAATATAATAGGGACTTTTTAAATGCTTTTGACAGTCATCTGAAAGGCTGAACATCTAGGAGACCAGCAGATGTGTTTCACCCTCCGCAATCGTTTGCTCAGACGTTTACTTGGAAAACGGATTAAGCAAATAAAAGCAAATAATATATTAGCAAGAAAAACATTCTGCAGGTGTTGACGGGACCTTGCTGCTTGTGCTAATTTGTCGTCTCTACAGGTAGCCATTTCAGCATCTCTCAGGGTTCGGTGTGAATCTAAATTGAGTGTTGCTCAAGCTCTGATAACCCCCCAGAATTTCACACCTCTAGTATGTAAACAGAGAGGTAGAGCAGGTCCTAAGTAGATGAGATAACAGAGATACTCCTAAATGGCTACAACCTGTCCTTAATTCACACTAATGTCTTACCAAAACACTTTTGTTCCAAATAGGGGCCAAGGCTGCTTCCTTTGTTCATGCTAGTTTAAAAATCTACTATAGCTCATATTTACTGGTAGTTTGTTACTGTAACTGTAAACGATTTACATCTGTTGACCCACAAGATTTTTCAGATAAACGTCAAAAGCATCTATAAAGTCCTTGTTAAAATTATTGCTCATGCTACGTGATATAATGCTTCATCATAAATGAAAAACAATTTACATTCACATTTCTTTCCTCTGTGGAACACAAAAGAAGTTATTTAGATTTTTTGTTGTTTTTGTTGTTTTTGTTGTTTTGGACCCTATTGACTTCATCATATTGACAAAAACAGTTGAAACTTTCTTAATATCATGAAAATATCATCTTTTGTGTTCAACAGAAGAAATTAAGTCAAACAGGTTTGGAAAAACTTGAAGGTGAGTAAATTCCTTTAAGACATGTCATCTAAATGTCTTGTTTCTTTTACATTTACTGAGAAAATACAGAAGTTGTAAATTTGTGTCAATTTTAGCACTTAATTCAGGTGCAGTCAACTCAACACTGTTAGTTTTGGTCCAAGAACAAGAGATGGGGGCAGGAAGGCAAGCAGCCCTTTTCCATTTGGCTTTGTGGAGATTTTGAGAAGCTTCATGCAATCACAGATACATATGTATGTGCTCATTGCTCCCTCCTGGAAGGCACCTTTTTACATGTACATGTCTACTGGGGTCCCCCCACCTTTGCAAACAGGCCTCCCCTCTGTCAGCTAATCAGTACTCAGCTAGATGCATTGTGACCCTATGCAAATCTATTTACATTGGAATAGGGGAATCAGGGGATCCTAAACTCAGGCATCGAAGTTGAAGAAAGAATACCCAAGGCCAACAAATAAATGAAAGTTTGCTCAAATCCGTGAGATAATGGGGTCTGTGTTCAGACTTACCACAGTGGAGAGATAAACACAGGGATTACTTGGGGGTTTTGCATCAGTTGCTTTCTGCTGGGTGGCCTTACTTGTCAAAAAGGGAGAAAAGGGGAGAGAGAGAGAGAGAGAGAAAGAGAATAGGGGAAAAAAACGTTTAACGCAAGGACATTCACATGGCACATTGAGAAAAGAAGTACCGCTAATTCCATCAAAGCCAGAGAAATCAGCCATTAATTTATGCTGCTCTCTCCCTCCCCCTGTAGCTATTGTTGCTTTGGTTGTTGATCATTTCAGTAACATCTGGTCCTGGTTTTTTTTTTTGGAGGCCAGTTAGTGTCAAGCAGATGACCCCCATCAACGTGGCCAAAAAAATCACTCTGGTGTCCCATGCTGTCGTTGTCGTCCTGTTGGTAAGAACAGAAAATGCAGGGTTTGTGTGTGAATATCTCATGCAAAAAAAAACAAAAAAAAATCAAACATTTTAACTAATGACAAGCAAGCAATTATAGTAGGTGAAAACTTAACATTTATGCAAATTTTATCCAAAGTAACTTACATATTCTCATTTATACATTTGATCTGCCCTTAAAAATTTAACCAATGAACTTGATGTTGCTACTGCCATGCTTTGCTTTTTAAGCTACAGTCAGGAACTCTAACATTAATAGTGTCAAGGTTTGCAGTCAATTAATGTGGCCTGAATATGAAGCCATGACAACAAAAGACCATTCTATAAAATTGAAAGCTGGAGTATTTGGTACGAAGAGTTTCCTCCTCAGATCTTCATAAGTGTTATGGTTGTGCAGGAGTGGACGATTCCTGTTAATATATATTTGGAAAGATGGAAAGATTTGGTATTTGAATCAAGGGCTTTGCCGAGGAGCAGATTATGACTTCCATGGTGACTCCTTCCAGCTTTGGGGAAATGAGCTGTTGACATTCTTCAGGGTCATCATCCAAGATAGCAGGCCAACCAGCAGGATTTACCCGATAAACCAATCCAACTAGACCTTTATCCATTTCACTACGACTGGGGAAGGCAGGGGTGAGATGGAGATGGGTTCGAACTAATGTTTTTCTCTTTCCATCAAAACGTCAGCCATTTGGTCAGCCAGTATGGATACTGTCATTGGGCTAAAATATATTTCCTAATAAACAGCATTTTTAATTGCATGCTTATAAATCATTGAGTCTAACATTTTCTGCATAACTACTGCAGGTTTGTACTGTGGTATGATTTTCAGAGAACATTGTTGGTCTGTGGGGTATTTTCTCTCAGACTGTACGAGTAGATTGAACAGCCAAGAGTGGATTCGGTACGAGTATGATAGGGTCTTTGAAGAAGAATCGTTTACACCTTCTGTCATCTCGCAAAGAACATCATCTTTGCCCACAAAGCCTATGTCTGACAATCTCTGAGTCCTCTCCACCTTGGTCAAAATAATTTTTTCCCATAATTCTCTTGTGTAACCTGGGGCTAGCGTTGCTCCCCGCTGTGAGGTAGACCCAGAGGAAAGACAAAAGCACAATGAAACAGGGAGCTTACCACCAACCGCTCTCACTGGAGCTCTGGAGTAGGGCCCACTATACACCGCTGCCTCTCCAGTTCTGTCCCAATGCTAATGAGCCGGCTCTGATCTTTCCTCTGCTTCCCGTGTTTTCAACATCTTCAAGGACCACATGGCGCTAGCAAAATAAAGACAACCAAATGAGAATTTTTAACGCTTTTTGTGTCAGCGACTCGGCGCCTTTCAGCCGGCTCACTCATTTAATATTCCCCCCGAGAAAGAAAGGACAGAGGAAAGAAGAAAAGAAAAAAGGTAAAATGTGCAACAAGGAGTTGGTGGTGCTGGAGGGAAAGGGGGAGGTGTCACTTGCATTCCTCCTCCGAGTTATTGCAGAGAATCGAACTATCTAAATCGTAAAACAGAAATGCCGTGACCTTAGTGTTCTCGTTTCGCTCGTTTCCATTAAAACAAGACACCCAAAATGTACATTTTTGACCAATGTCGACGCTGAGTTTCATGATATCAATAACAGTTCCCTAACAAGAGAGGACAGATAAAGGGTGAAAGAGGGTCCGGGTCTGACGGAGTCTCCTGCCAGCTGTTCACACACTCCTTTTTAATAGCTGCGTTCTCTATACAGAGGCACAAGGCAGTGCCTCGCATTAGCGCTGGAGACCACTAGTTAATAGGATGATGTCTTTTAGCTTTTGTTATGAGATTATTAACCGGGATAGGTTTCTGCTCTCATCCGAGTCGCTGCTCTGAGGGCCTGTTGAGCACAAGTGGTAAAATACAGCATCCCCACATTGTGTCGTGCTTGTATGGCAAAAGGCTTTTAATGAAACACCTTTTCGGAGGCTTCACCAGGTGATCTTTTTTTTACCGCTCTCATCTGCCACTCACATAGCTTTAATTACCTGAAGTACTCAGCTTTTTCCAAAGGCCCTTGATTCTGCCCCTGTGTTCAGCGCTCCCAAAAGCAGGTTTAAAGTGGGTGATAGAGTGAAATGATAGTATTTGTCAAAATAAGAAAGGAGAGGACCTCTGGCTCCAGTGTTTCACCCTGAAGGTCATATTATATCTTTGGTCTTATTTTATTATGTAAGGTCTTATTTTTTTGTTTGTTTACACTTGCGTTTTAGGGTTAACTTAGTTGATTTAATCTTTATAAACCTATTATTTGCTCTCTCTCTCTCTATGTATATATATATTTAATTGGTATTTGTTAACCTTACTTGAATACAAACTGTTGATTTACATTCATTTTACTTACTGACACTTTCAACATCTACATTTAGTATTTACATTTATATTGTCACCCTCATAAATTCAGAGATTTATTTTTTGCTTATACAATGCAACACACATATATATAAGATAATATTATATGTACTGTAATTCGTGTGCAAATCATGTCATCATGTGTGTGATTACTTGTGTGAGATTACAATGAACTAATTTGGATTTGATTAGACTATTTATTATTGTTCCTTTAGTTCAAACACTAGAGAATGGCGCAACAACGGCAGATTCATGGGTTCGATTCCCAGGAATAAAATGTAGACCTCAATGCAGTGTAAGTTGTTTTTGGATAAAAGCATCTGCCAAATGCATAAATGTAAAAACAAAAACTCAAACTCTAAACAAATGTCAAACAATATCTATGGTACTGTTTCATCCATCAAGCATTTTTTCATTTCATCATCCACTCTTCTGTCATTTTGCATCATTATTTATCGCGAGTGCTGTTGTGAAGAGGGCTGTAATTGTTGTTTTGTAATGTAAACTGCCTGTCTTGGCTGTTACGCTCATCGTGAAGCTGCGATAGTGGACAGGCAGCCCAGGGATTAAGGAGCAAGGAACGGCCAACACTAGCTGATAGTCTGTCAGTCTGTGATAATGTTTATTGATTAAAAAGAAGGGTGGAATACAAACACAGTTTAATAGAGTAGGGGGCTGCAGGCAGAGATGGACATATTTGTGATTCCTGGTGCTTAACTCAGACAGCCAGGCTACAATTTATATAGTCTCCACTGTTACTCCCCATGTCAAAATATTGCTTTAAAGTAATAGAACCATTTTTGATGGATATGCAAATTCAAATTTGAAAATATACACAAATTGGAATGTAGTTAAGGCAAAAATAGAAGAGAAAAAAATCTATTATCTGCCATTTGTTTGTTTTGCCCCTGCCAAACTCGACATAAAGTGCTGGGGGACTGGGGTGTTTGCAGAGGAGTTGTTTGTGTTAACAGCGCTGAGGGGCGGGTGAGAGACGAGTATTAAGGTACAGACTATCTTCTGTCAGTCCCTCACTGAACGTTCAAACAATTACATGAAAGGATGTATGATAACGGTGTATGTATAGCCAAGACTTTTCTGTCATTAAGGGCGACTTAAGCGATCCTGTTTTCCTCCTGCGGTTCTTCTCTCCTCGCTGTAAGGCCGCTCCGCTTATGAATCCTTCCTCATAAGCCGCAAAGCAAGCAACTGAAGGTCAATAATACCCGGTGGCAATTGAAAACCCAGTGACGGGACACTTTGCGAGGAATTAAATTGTAATGCGCTTTGACTGCTCATGTTCCATTAACTCAAATATGTCAGTCTGTGATCATGAATTGATAACGTGTTTCCTTAAACATACAATCTGATCAGTGCTCATATTAAGAACATGTATTTATTTTCCCCTTTAAGATTTAAGTGATTTAATACAGTGGGGTTTATGTAATGTAATGTCATTATGTTTTAGTTATTTGGATGATATTCTTTAAGTGGTTTAATTCTATTTTAATATCGAAATAATTAACCGTTACTTCAGTAGAGTAAATTGAAGCTTTTGAAGATCTCCGTTTTCTACACGTCTCTTTGATTTTTCAGGGTCTTGGTCACCTAAAGAGGCTGATCCCCAGATAAATAGCAAACAGGGGAAAAGGTTAGTGGTTAACTAGGTTGGCTTAAACAAGAGAAAATGTGTTCGGTCCATTTTGAAACCAGTGATGGGCGTCTTAAAGTACAATGGCCGGGGCTTTATCCTGAGATTAGGTATTGTGGTTAAAGCTAAACTACCTTCCATCAGAGCGGCGCAAGGCGAGTGCTGCCCTTTCAGCCCACGCTAACAAGACTTCTCCACATTGCAGACCCACTCAGAGTAATTAAATCAATCCTTTTGTTCTCACCGCTCTCTCCTTCAGTAACGAGTGAAGATCTGATTATTGCCTTCATGCATATTCAAAAAGACTCCCTGACTGGGCCTTAATGAGCTTCCTCTCAATCGCACAAGATTCATCTTGTTCTTTCCCCCCTTTTTACTTATTTTTTTATTTGTCTCTCGCTCTCTTTTTTTCATGCATTCTCACTCCTGACAACAACAAAAAAAGAGGGAAACGGCAGTCAGACGCACAGAATGAATGAGTGAGGAGAGTCAGCCCACTTAAAATAAATCGTAAATGTTCAAAAAGTGACTGAGTGGTGGAGGAGTGGAGATCTTCCCCTTCAAACTCCGATAGACAAATTGGATTACTGGGTATTGGATTAAACAGAAAACGGGTGGATAAGAAATGAGAAGAGCTTGCTGTGATCACAGGGTTTAATATATTTCTTTTCTTTTTCTTTTCTTTATGGCCTCTTCTCTCCACCCCCAGCCTGTTTTTTTTCTTCTTCTTTTTTCAGTAAAGACACCCAGCTCTTAGCAGGACTCAGGATTAATTTGTAATTGTTCTGGTTTCTTAATGCTTTAGAAAGATTTTTATCTAAATCAAATGAGGGGGAATTTTGTAATTAAACAAAATGCCAAGCAAAACAATCCCC